TCGATCTCAAATCGAGTATTCGGGCTGCATACCGCTAAGTCGAAACTTCGGAAGATCATAACTTCTTCATACGAAGTCAGATTTGGGTGTTCTTTTTATGCACACTCTCGGTTTAACGAACTCTATGACTTTTGTTTATATCACTAAGGATAAATATCACTCTAACGTAAATTCACTTTTTACATCATTGAGCGTCGTGCCAGTTCCGTCGCGAAACTTCGGCAAGACATAACTTCTTCGTTATAACTCGGATTTCGGCGTTCTTTATATCTCCGGAATCCATGTCACGACCACTACAACTTAGTTAAGATTATCCACCCTAAATAATCTTCTACCAAAAAGTCATTTTTGATGCTTATCATCTCTAAACTGACTAGCCCAGATCTACGGGCGTTACATATATATTAGACCTCATGGCTAAAATCGGATAAAAGATGTGTTCTTGGAGAAGCATAGCCGATTTGTGTGCCTATAAACCTCCCTCAAATCATCCAATTGTTAAAGGGTGTGTTATGAACCATTTGAGGTATCACACTTGGGGTGCTAAGTTCTTAAAGGCCAAAATACAACAAGTTCTACAAGTTACATGAAGAGGTAAACTCCTAACTAGTATTTTATGTTGTTTATGTCAGTTTTATTCTGGTTGTAGGATTAATGATTTGGAAACAATATTGCATGTATAGTTAGAGAAAACATAGATCCAAAACATTTAGGGTTGTATGTGCACCATATGATGTTGTATTATACAAAACCCTACGGTGGTATTAGAGCCATGGGTTGTTTTCTATTATATTTGATGCATGGCTTAATTTTCAAAGCTGACAATTTGATTTTCTGGCCATCTGGCCGATAAACTCACTGAGTCCAGGAACTGACTTGACGAGTCCACTCAGTACAGGGTCAACTCGGCGAGTCATGTTCATACACTCGACGAGTTGATGCTATCCCATGAAATTACAATTTGCACATTGTTAAGTCGTTAGTTGGGCTTAGGGCAGAAAGTAATTAAAGCAATCTGCCTTGCTCCCTTGCTATCGACGACAACCTTTGGACTCTGTCGTCTTCCTTCCACCAACAAGAGACCACCCTTCTTTTGACCAGGTGCGTATTTATGAGTTTTCTGTTCCCGTTTTTTCCATTCCAACTTGAGATTTTCGTTTTTTTTTTTTGCCTAAGATTTTCTAAGATTTTTTGTTCCCGTTTTTTTCCATTTGTGCTGAGTTTTCTGGTTTTTTTGTTGCTATGATGTGCTCTTATTTTGTTGCAATGATCTTTTCAATAACTGTATTCTTTTCAATAGCATGGGAATTTTAGATCATTCGAAGGAGATTATAACAAATGTTCTTATGTTATATTTTCTGGATAATCGTGATTCTTGTGTTCTTTTGTGGGTGTAAATAAAGATCATGTTAAGACCAGGAAGTAATTAGCACCAAATTAACATCATTTAAAGGAGATTGTAGCCACTGTTTTGTCTTTTTTTTTTTTTTGTGAATTTTGGATGAAGTCTGAAGAAAAGACAATTCCATGTTGTTTGATTGGGATTGAAACTAATGTCACCAATTGTGCATCTATCTAGACCTTCATTTTACAACCCAACTTTAAATGATTGCAATTTGGATAATTTCGTCTTCTCAAATTACAGCCCATTAAGGGTGGGAATTATTTGGTCCGAAACTGAAAAACCTAAAAATCAAAATGAATCGAAATCAATTTCAGACTAAACCATATTCAAATTCAATTTTTGGTTTAGTCGAAGATCAAACCGAACCGTGAATTCTGGTTTTTGGTTTGAGTTTCAGTCTCATGAAGTTTTGACCAAATTGAACCGAAAAAACCGAATTTCATAAAATAATTAATTAAAAAAATATATTTTATATTTTATATATTAAATAAAAATATTAATTATAAAGTAAAAAACATTTTAGCCTATTTACTTTTTTACCAATGTAGGGTTGACTTAAATGACTTTCACCGTTCAATCCCTCACGAAATTCCGATCGTCGATTTTTTATATCTTTGTTTGGAACTTGAAAGTTAAACTTTATGTTTCTAACTAATACTAGTACCGTTTTACATTCTACGTATGAAATTTTTGATCTTTTTATATGAAACATTAGATCTTATTTGTAACATCCATAAAATTCATGAAAAGTTTAAACTTTTTAAAACAACCCAAAAATTATCATTGTTTACAAATAATTTTCAAAACAAGATCAATATTAGAGAAATCCCAAAATCATGAAACAAAACATGAGGAGGTGCACGATCATGCCTTCACTTTCCGCTATCCTCTGAGGTACCTGAAACATAATCCAAAATTGTAAGCCCAAAGCTTAGCGAGTTCCCCCAAAATACCAATACACAGTCAAATAGTAAAATTATAATATTAGCATGCAATTGGTCCACAACTAACATACTTGATTACCTATGAGCCCACAACATAAGTTCGGCTTGTCCTTGGCCCACAAATTATGTATGGCTTGCTCCCCGTCTTGATCAATCATCAGACTGAATACCACTAAGCCCTCAGTTCGAGTTTGGCATGCACTTCCCGGCCCTCAGCTAGTATCTGGAATGCTCATGAGCCCTTAGTATGAGTCTGACAATACCTTTCATGGCCCTCAACTTATATCTGGTATGCTTCAGGGTTTCTTGGCTACAACACAGAGTAGTATAACCTCTACCCAACCCACACAATATGTCGACATATAACAAATAATATCATATACAAATAAACAAATAGTATCATAAGTAGTCCTACAGATCTACCAGACTAGCATATCAAAACTAGCATGCATATTTATTCCAAACTCAACATATCAACAATATCAGGTTATCAAACCAATAGGTCAGCCTTAGTAACTTCGGCTCGAAAGTACAGTGAGGAAAACTCACCTCACAAGCAACAAAGAACTGATAAGGCCTGAGTTCGAATCTCAACTCTCAACCCAAATGCCTACAACCACCAAGTGACAAATTCCATCAAAATCCTAACAATACCTAAAATACCCTCAAAAGTCAAACTCGGTCAAACTTGGTCAACACATGGTCAAAGTCCATAAACCCACTGAGTTAACCTATTCGAGTCAACCCAACCGAGTTAACTCGAAAATGGCTGATCAATACGAGTACGTGGGGGTACTCCGGAAGTATGCACAACGTACACAAGGCTTCGCAGAAACCACCATCGTGGTGGCTGACCGGGTACGCGGGGCGTACCCTCGCAAATCCATTTCCTTCATTCAGTGCTTAATGACTTTAGCACTTAAGCTCATACTTCTGATCTAAGACCAGCGGCATACTAGGGTCATAAAGTTCCCAGCTTTATGACTTTCCACATTCAAAAAGTCCTTAATACAAGGTCTTAATCATTAAGACCTTCTATAAGAAGCATAGAGCCGAACTAGCTTAAGGGACCTCATTTTATGGCTTAGAAACATTCCTAAGGTCTGAAAGGACAACCCAAAACGTCCAAAACCAAACATGCATAGAAATGAGACTTTTGAGACAAAAAGAACATCATAAAGCTAATAGAATGAGATCCAAGCAAACAAAGCATCAATGTGATTTTTTTTTACCTTATGGAGCTTCCTAAGAAGGTGACGATCCAAGATCCACAAGCTTGCTTTAACTTCTAATCTCGTAGATGCAACTCTATATTCCTTAAGCACACAAAGAACACACTTTTAGCTCAAAACACTCTCTTATGGGGGTTAAGGTTTGCTGAAACGACTCAAGGGCTTGGAGGCTGAAAAGATGGGTGTAAATGGTCCATAAATACGCTTAAATACTGCACAAGCCCTAAAATTTAGGGTTTTACTCGGACATAAGTACCCCATCGTACATATATGTACGCCCTATGTACTAAGGCACGCCCCAATACGCTTAACTTACCCACATATACGCTTAGCGTACACCTCCTGCCTCAAAATTACCATTTTGCCACCAGGGCTTCTTAGGGCTACATCCTTACAATCTAAGGACCTAAATGACATAATTTAAAACCAAAGGAAAGATTTGAAAATACCTGAAAACTAGGGTGTTACATAAATTTTGCAACTTTAGATTTTTATGTTAAAAACATTGTAACTTATGTTTGAAAACTTGCAACACTAATTTTTTTAAAGTTAATATTTAGTTTTCTCAGTTCCTAAAACGAATTATAATTTGGTTTCGGTTTGGTCTACAGAATTTGTTGGTTTGGTTTTCAAATTTGACCCAAAAAAAAAATCAAACCGAGAAAATCGAAGAACCCATAAACCGAACCGATTCCCACCTTTAGAACCCATATTCTTTCAAATCCCTTGCTAGATAAATGCTTTAATAATTCTAATGATGCCATTGAACGGTTCATAGATAAAGATTGATATTTTGTGTTTAATTCTTGATTGTTACAAGTCCTTTAATAATTGTGATCATGTTATATATGAATTATTATAAAAAATATTGTTTGAGAGTAATATAGTTATTTTATACAATCAGTCAGATATAAACTAAATAAATTTCAATAAGAAATTAACTTAATCAAAATTTTTAACATAATTAGTTTTTAATTCAGTTAACAATCTTAAATTTATCTATTTTTTAAATTATATTAAAAATGTATATTACCAAGTACCTATGGAGTAATTTTATCTTTAAAATATCATTCAAATCAAAAAACATTAATCATCAAAAAAACATTAATCAGATGGAAAACTCTTCACGCCCAGCCGTTAGATTTCATCGAAATCAACCAGAAGTCGCTACTAAATTCCCGATAAGGCTAAAACTGTAAATTCGTCACAACTAGTCAAAATTAGATTCTCCGTTTCGTTGACACAAATGACGTGGCTTTTCATTTACCACTTTTACCCTTTTGCCGTAAAAGGCTTTTATATATATCCAATACCTTCCAAAGGTTTTAGAGGGTTTAGGGTTTCGTTAATCTCCTCCGATTTGGGGGTGTGTTTCAATTTCTGGTGTTAGCTTTGTTTTGCTTTGAAATCGAAGAAGTAATGGCTGTCGATGGTGCTAGGAAATCGGGAACTGTGAAGTGGTTTAGTGATACCAAGGGTTTTGGTTTTATTACTCCTGAAGATGGCGGCGAAGATCTGTTTGTTCATCAGTCTTCGATCAGGGCCGATGGTTTTAGGAGTCTAGGTGATGGTGAGACGGTGGAGTATGTGGTGGAGAACGGATCTGATGGGAGGGCGAAGGCTGCCGATGTTACTGGACCCGAGGAGGGGCCTGTGCAGGGAAGTAGCCGTGGAGGCGGCGGTGGCGGGGGCGGACGTGGAGGCGGCGGTGATCGTTACGGTGGAGGAGGCGGTGATCGTTACGGTGGAGGAGGCGGTGATCGATACGGTGGAGGAGGCGGTGATCGGTATGGTGGTGGCGGGTATGGCGGTCGTGGAGGACGTGGTGGTGGTGGATACGGAGGTGGAGGCGGCGGGAACGCATGCTTTAAGTGCGGCGAGGCTGGACATATGGCTAGGGATTGTGATCAGAACGGTGGAGGCGGAGGTGGTGGTGGCTACGGAGGTGGACGTGGAGGTTATGGCGGTGGACGTGGAGGCGGAGGAGGAGGTTACGGTGGCGGAGGCCGTGGAGGCGGAGGTGGTGGCGGTTGTTACAACTGTGGAGAAGATGGGCACTTCGCTCGTGAATGTCCTACTGCTAGTAACCGTTGATCTGAGATCTGAATGAAACTGGTAAATTACATCTGTGTTTTCTACCATTAATTTGCTTCTTATTTTTCTGTTTTTTTTGTGATTTCTAATTTCTATGTTCATGAATCCGTTGTTGAACCATTTGGCAAATGTTTTTAGTTCTCTTATATGATAGTTTGTTCCGTTTTTGGTGCTTGATTATGTTTTTGTTCTTCAAAACTGTGCTTCATGTTCATGATTATCATCTTCAAATTGATCTGTTTTTCAAGACTTATGCAGAACTGCATGAGATAACGATTAAAAAAAGTGGGGTTTTATCATCTTTGATTGATATTGAGCAATGAATGTGGTTGCATAAATTGTGTGCCACGTTTTTAATGTAAAAATATCTCCATATCATTTATAGTGGTTGAAAGCTTATCTACAATTTGAAATAATATAAGAATAATCGGTTTATTAGATCAAACACTTCATTATAGTCATTCTTACGTTCTTTTGTATACCAATTTGATCTGTCGATTGAGCTTTCTATTTGTCCAATTGCATTCACCTTATTTTCAAAACCTCAAAGATTAATCTCTTTCTCTTCAAGAGACATGGAATAGAATAAAACATGAAAACAAAATTAAAAACGGAAAATTAAAGGTTATTCTATTTTAAGTACAAATTCAATGCATTAACACATTAAGATGCAACTAGTCTATTCGTGATCAACAAAGTTTTTTAATCCCACCTAAACCTATAATGTGATTTAAGCATACTATCAAGTCATCAACCCTCAAACCAAGCTTTTGATGACTAAACCTAACCCATAACATAAGACCTAGATGCATTTGACGGGTCACCAAAAGAAATCGCTTCAAGGAAGCTGAACACAGAAAATGACGAGTCGGCCTCCTTCATATGACACCAACCAAGCTTCTGTTATACTTCTCCCCTCATATGACACCAACCACTTTGTGATGTCTCCTTTTCGTTTCTTGTTTGATCCCATCTTGAAGAACTTGTCAATTGGAAATCCTTCTACATTTCGGTACTTATTTGATGCTGCATATGTTCAAGCGAGTTAGATAGAGAGAAAGAAAGAGTTGGAGGGAGTAGGGATGAGCATTGGAACTGGTCCGAACCGGAAGCAGTTCGGGAACCGAACTTGGTGGAAAACAAAAATTGAACCGGTTCTTGAGAAATAACAATATACGGTTTTGGTTTTTGCCGATTCTATCGGTTTTTGCAGGTTCTAGAAATCCACAAGAATATCGTTCCGATCCCGGTCCGATCAGTTTTATACGGTTTCGGTACCAGTTTCGGCCGGTTCTCCAGTCCAAATGCTCATCTCTAAGATGGAGAATGTAAGTAAGATCGAAGAATGTTCTTCCTCCGGCATGTTTAGATGATCCATAAATGTGGTATTTTTATTTTTGCTTAGGGATGTCGATTGGGCAAGTGGGATGAGGGTTGCATCCCCCACCCTTGAAATTTCCCAATTCTCCTGCTTCCGCCCCTGAATATTCCAGCCTCTCCACTTTGGCCCTCGCCCCCGAATTCCTATATAACCGCCTCCCCCGCCCCTGTCTTTGTTCCCTCGCCCTCGATTGATTTTTGGCTATCTTTTTGTTGGACTAAAAGTTGTTGTTATTATTATTATTATGGCTTAAAGAAGCTATTTTTTATGTTAAAAATAGTTATTTATGACATAATTTACATATTAAAAATAAGAATGTCATGATTTTTCAAAAACTTTATACTAACAACTTAAAAACATGATTTTTTGTTGTATTTTAGAAGCTTTAAAATCATTGTTATTATATATATATATATATATATATATATATATATATATATATATATATATATATATATATATATATGGGGCCCTCATTTAGGTTCGGGATGGGACTGTCACCCTGTTCCGGCCCTTCAAATTAAAACAAAGTTAATATTGCCCCTATCCCTACACGATTTTTTTAACAAATATTCTCATATGGGATTGAGCCCCATGAGTTTGGGTCCTATAAGATTTTTTAACATCCTTATTTCTCCTAATTTAAATCATAAACAATATCAAGTTCAATCGGGAAGGGAAAAAAGTTACGAGGGAGATATTAAATCCGACTCCCCGACTTAGCTTGGATTTCTAAGTTTAATGAAGGTAATCAATCCATTTTTCTTGAAGGTAATCGATATAAGTCTGTTGATTTTTGTGGTAGATGACGGTGGTGGTGATTAAATTCTATGTTATAATCTTGTTATCTTGAGTTGTGGGTAGTAAAGAAGAGACATTTTTCTGACTTACAAGCATGATTAGAAGGGGAGATGTTACGAGGTGAAGGAGGCGACTGATCTGAATTTTTTTTTTTCATTCGCCTTGATGCCATCATCGAATCGTTAAAAAGAAAAAGAAAATTCTACATCATCATTTCTATTAGCCTTGATACAGGTGGAAGAATCTACAAGAACTTCAACAAATAGATCATTTTATTCTCTATTCTGCATATTTCCAACAAGAGTACCTTCTTCATCTTTCATCTTTTCCATTTGTCGCTTTAAAAGGAATTGGAGAATTAGTGAAGAGAAAACTTCGATGGCTATGGTTGTCATCACAAAATTTTGATGAATTAGAGGTCTCTTGAGATTCAAAAGTGGGAAAAATACAAAGAACACCATCCCTAGATGGGTGGACAAAGGTGGTCAAAGGTGAACGATGGCAATAGTGGTGTGAGTTAGATTTGGCTAAACACAAATACACACCAACACCACCACCTGATTTGGTTGCCATGTACCATTTCATTTAATAGGAATGATAGACATGATGCTGATGTGACTATCTTCCCCTACACATCATACATCATTGTGCCAACCGCTAAGTCACCAACTTTACCGATTGACCCTTTCAAATTGAGCAAAGTTGTGTAATTGACACATTTTATACGATTTAAATGGTCTATTTCGTAAAAAAAAAATTAGTAACCAAATCGAATAAATGACAAAATTTTATTGTGCTACTCTTCTCCTAAGTGGAAATATGTTTGTTGTCTCATGGTCATTTAATTGGACGTGTTGATTGCGAAAAATATGATTGGGAATGGCATGTTTACATACACTTTTAAATATATGTTTGTATTTTTTACTTCAATTTTGTATTTTATTTTTCAGTGATGTTTTTCTTTGACATGTGTTAATGAGATGTTATTTATTTATTTATTGTTTGCGTGTTGATGAGATGGTATTTTTTAGTTTACGAAGTTTATGCTCATTTCCATGTGTGATTCGGTATGTAGAAGTTTACGAAGAAAAGTGAAAAGAAAAAAAAAACTAAAATCTATGTGAAGCTGATGTAACATTTGTGAAGGGACGGAATGAAAATATCTTTATGACTTTACCCTTTACCGTTCGAAGTTTCTCAACAGAGGGCTTTGTTGTCCACTGTGGCATGGAACACGACCACAAACACCAACTTGTCCCTCCGTTCTTAGTCGTTGTAGTGGAGATTTGTGGTGGTGAGCACGAACCACGACGACCATTGAGCTTTCTTCCACTCATTCTTCTACCCCCCTTTCTCCTCTTATTTTCATTCGTGGTTGTGATATGTACACCTGGTTCGTGGTTCATTATGGTGAGGTTGAAGGAAATGAAAGTTGAGGTGGTTTGTGGTTCATGAGTATTACTTCGGATGGCCTTAAGGCCTTCTAGCGTATTCATCACTAACCACAAATATGATGGGTGTAACATCACTGCAACCTCGACACCACATACAACCATATTAGGTTTGTATATCCACCATTACACATCATTTTTTTGTAATTAAAATTAGACAAAACTGTAAATTTGGTCCTTGTGGTTTGCGAAAACCTTTGGATAGGGTCCAAAAAGTTTCCAGCTTGCACCGAAGGTCCAAAATCAAGGTTTTCCATTGTTTTTGGTCCAAAAAAACTTGAAAAGTCGATTTTACCCTTTTACATTTCTTTTTTCTATTTTCTTTATTTATTTTGGTATTTAAATAATTAAAAATAGAAAATAAAATAAACCCCACAACCTCTTCCTCCCCCCCTCTCTCTCTCTCTCTCACACACACATAGATACACACACAAATATATATACATATCGTCTTCATAAAAATGGCTGCCAGCATTACTTCAATAGTCTCAAGCTAGATCGACCATAGAAGCTCAAAGTTTTCGATCAAGCAAAAATTGGTGTGAAGGGCCTCGTTGATGCTGGAATCCGCCAAATCCCTCTCATCTTCTGCCAATCACCATAAACATCGCACAAAATCAAGTGATGCAATTGTTGGAGGTTTAAGAGAAATTCAAATCAAGTAATCAAATAAAGTGATGAAATATGAGGTATGCTTTTCCAATTATTCTCAGAAGCCTTAGGATTGAACGCATATCACCTCCGGGATCTCGATTGTAGCAAGGGGCTTTTGTTCTTCGACCATTAATACCCTGTTTGTTGATAGAAACCCTTAAGGATTTCAGAAGTGATTAATCGGGTAAGAGATGGTTTATGGTTTGATATGGAGACCTATATTAGCACCACTTTCACAGACCCAATTTCTACATACATAATCGACTTATCATCTTCAGATCCATTTGGTATGGAGATCGATATCAGCACAACTTGCATAGCCATCACCGGGTGGCTTGAAGATTTTGATGTGGACTACGTGAAATATGTCAGAAACAATTGAGGGGGGAAACAACAATGAGATCGCAGGTAGGTCTAATTTTATTGGAGGTGCTACTGTCGGAGACGCTTCAATGGTCGGAGGTGTTCTCCTGACGGAGAAGGTAAGGCTGCCAGAAGCTTAACGGTACAAATCAGGAGAAAGGAGAAAAATGAAGCAACAAAGGCAGCTGTAAGATTGGTCCTTGCTGTGTGTGTATGTCTATGAAGACGACCTGTATTTATATTTATGTGTGTGTCTATGTGAGAGAGAGAGAGAGAGAGAGGAGGAGGAGGAGGAGGGAGGGGTTGTGGGGTTTATTTTATTTTCTATTTTTAATTATTTAAATACCAAA